CCCGTTGATTTTTGTAGAGATGGGAGGGAAGGAGAGGGGGAAAGAGAAACATCGATGTGAGAGACATCAATTGGTTGAGTTGGCTGGGGGGATAGACCCTGCCACCCAGACCCTTGACTGGAACCGAACCTAGGTCCCTTCGGTGCATGGGCTGAAGCTCTAACCACTTAGTACACCAGCCAGGGCAAAATCCCACCTTCTGTTGCTGCTGCTGCTGCAGTTGTGGTTTTGAGGATCCTTACCTGTACTTACTGGCTTCTAGGGGTGTCACAGGGGCTTGCGTGAAGTTTAAGCTCCCCAAATAATGGGATCCAGTTTAGTGAAGTGTGAGTGGTTCTCAGGAAGTGCTGGTACTGACATGACCCAATTCTTTCATGCTCAACCCTCCACTCTAACCCCACCTCCACCCCCAGCAGCATCTAGCTCTCTGGAATCCCAGAGTTTGAGTGGAGAGTGGGCATCATTTTAAGCACTTGGTTTCATTAAGATGGCAGCTCTTCGGATTCAGAATTTCAGACCCACGGCTTTGGACAATGATTAAGTTTTGATGATTACCATCCGCCAAATGCAACCTGTTCGAAAAGGATGCATGAAATCAAATTCCTCCTAGAGCGAGAAAGGGAAACGTTGCCCGTGGGCAGAAACGTGATGTTCCAGATCAGAGTGCAGCATCACAAGGCAGCCTCTCCCCATTTCCCAGCCTTAGCCCTCTCCCAGGCTTTGTCTCCTGCCCACCGCGCTGCCCCTGTCCCTCTTCCCCGAGATGGTCTGCTCCGCCCAGAGGGCCGCGCCGCGCCGCGCGTGGGCCTGGAGCCGCCGCGGGGGGCCGGGAGCCCCGGGAAACAATGCGCCCCCCGGACCGGAGCCTGGCCTTTGTGTGCTGGGCCCCGGTACCTCCTCCCGGTCCCCGGGGACCTCGGGCTGCGCTGTGCACCGGGAGGTCGGGCATCACCGCGCCCCGGCACCCCGCGCGGGCCAAGAAGATCGGGGACCAAGCCGGCTGTCTGGACCGCCTGCCTCTCCCTAAAGGATGTGGTGTGTGTCCGGTGTCTGTCCGGTGACGGGGCCCGGCCGGACCCACGTGTGGAGGCCGAGCCCGGCGCTGCCATGTGCTCGGAGGCTGCAGAGCTGCTCCTGCACCGCCTCTGCCTCTCCGGCTCTTATCACAGCCTGCACGCCGCTTCCTCACCATCCAGCCGAAGAAGGAGCCTGTCTGCATCTCGTTCTTGCCCGGCCTGTATCAGAAAAAAAAAAAAAAAAATGTATTCTTAAAAAAAAGGGGGGGGGGGAATATTTTTTTAAAAAAAAAGAAAGAGAAAGAAGGGAGGGAAAAGAGGTTGCCATCCAGTGGAGGGAAGAGTAAATTCCCAGCTTCATTCAGGAAAAAACGCAGGCTGCAATATGCTTCCCTGTTTTCCCTTGGCTGGGCCTTTTTTTCTTTCTTCTTTTTTTTTAATCACCAGAAGGGTTTTTTTAGTGACATCCGGAGCCAGGAGGGTGCGTGCGCCTTTAAGGGGGAGAAGCGCCTCACCAAACTTCGCTGTAGTTGTAGCTCGCCGCCCGCCCCGCGGAGGGCAGGAAAGTGTTAATTTCTTATTTGTACACTTTTTTTCCCCCCCGACTTCCTTCCTATTCACTTCATTAAATCTAGAGGCAGTTTCGGCATGGGAGCCGTCTGTATGTTGAATTAGGGCTCTCTCGCACTCTTGCGCAACACGTCACCAGTCGGAAACTGGGGGTTTGCTTCTGTGATTTATTTCATTATTGTGCTGGTAAAAGGTTTGGGAGGGAAATCTTGCGGGGGTAGTGTACTTTAGCATTTGTGTAGCAAGTTTTCTTTTTTTGTGGGCGCCCCCCCCCTCCCTTCCCTTAGCACTTGAGTCAGTGGAGCCAGTGGAATAAGTAATTTTTTTTTTTAATTAAAGAACAGTTTGAAATGTCCAAGAATAATTTGACTTAACATGCAGGAGTAATCTTACTCCACTCTTTTTTTTTTTTTTTTTAAGTGCTAAAAGCACCGGGAAATATTTAAGAGAATTGATTTCCATTAGAACAAGACCTTAGAAATCCCTCTACAACAAGCACTGCATATGGATGTGTTTGGGGTCTTGGGGGGGAGGAGGGAAGGATGTTTGTAGCTTGTCTGCATTCCTGCATAAAAGCCTTACTTTTAAGGGGAAGGATGGTCAGTACTTTGTGTGTGTTTCCATGTGAATCCAAAAACCTAAATTTAATAAGAATCTGCATGTATTAGCAATGGTAATAAAAATTATTTTACTAGTTCTTTTTGTAGTTTAATTGGTTTTTGCTCTTTAGCTACTTAGGTTTAGAGATTTAACAGTCCAGCTATCTCTAGCTTATGCTTTGTTTCCCCCCCCCCCATTTTTTTTTTTTTTTTTGCAAAGTTAAGGGGAGGGGGGAGAGAGTAGAAATATTCCTTCACAACTTCCCCCTCTTCGTTTAGCCCACCGAAAAGAAAAACAATGAAAAATTTTACAGCATGAAACTGAAAGTGAAGTGCCACAGTTGTTCAGGGTTTTTCTTTAAAGAATAACATATTTTATGAAAATTTTTATACTTAAGAACATGCACATTGCTTTTACTGACATGCATTTAATGAAAAAGAAATTCCTTTATTATGAAAAAAAAAATCACCTTAGAGTGCTCCAAAACCATGCAGCTTGTTTTATGAAAAAACCCTAAAAGGAGATTTCAAATACAAAAAAGAAGCATACCTTGTTTTAATTTTTGAAAGTAAATTTGAATATTAATTTGTTTCCTTATCAGCTTAATTGTTAACATGCAAGTAAGAATCAGGAACCGCCTGAGCTAAAAGAGAGAGAAAAAAATCTCTAATTCTGCTGCCTGAAATAATAAGAGGAGAAAAAAAAATATGATAAGTAGTTGTCAATATTAAAACAGGCTGAAGGAGGAAGGTTTCGGGCCTTGTGTAGTAGGGAGAATGAAACAGCAGATTTGAGTATCCACAATCCTTTCAGTATTAAATTTTCAGTGAAATAAAATTACTTGTATATGAAAACATAGCCTTTCCCCAGCTCTCTTTTTTTTCCTGATCAGCTGATGAAGAGACTAGCAGCTCGCTGCTTTGCTGGCTTGTTAATTTTATCCCCACTAACTGTGATTTCCGATAGCCGGCCTGCTGATAGTGGTAAGGTAAATATCCTTTTTCGTTGCCGTCTTGAAGATTCAGTAGAACTACATCCCGGGCATGTGTAGGTGTGTAACACATCCAAAGCCGGTGGTGTTCTCCGTGTTTCTGTGTGCAACTGGGTGCTTGGGAGCAGTACCATTAACTGTTGACAGCCTTGCATGCTGTATTTATTATTAGCATGTTCAGCTTCCAAGATTTTCGGGGCAATTTCCTTTTCTTAATCTTCGCTTAGCTGCAATGTGTTTAGCTGTATAGTGGGTGTCCTGCTTTTAGGCAAATGAATATTAATGAAAAGATATGGGGCTTTTTTTTTCTTTTTTCTTTTTCCCCCTCATAATTCATCAGATCTCGCCTTCTTCATAATGGTTATCTGAACGTTGTAGGATCGTGATAGAAATTGTCTTTTGATTATTAAGGCCTAGGCTCGGACTGTCCCTCAGGACTCTGTCTGTGTGCATGTTGCTTCTGTGGGTTTGCACATGGGAAGATGCATAGAAAATAGATTTTAAATGCCACAGGCATTTTTTTTTTTTTTAACATGCCAGGTTGTTGTGTGTTCTGCACCAGGTTTTCTTCACAAAACCTTTCTTTTTCAGGAGGCATTGTACACAAGTGAAAGAAATTATGTCTGAGCTGTAATCACTCTTTATATTGATTGTTATACTCACATGATCATAAATATTAGCCATGTTTGGTGCTGTGGAGAAATGAAGGTAATTGCCTTATGATTAGAGCTCTTTCTGCTACGAGAAAGGATTGATTAGCATTTGCATACTGGAGGCAATATTGAGAGGCAGGAGGAATAAATAACATCAGTTATTTTGTGTGAGAAGGCAATCTTGAAATATAATTTAAAGGTTTTAAAAAATATTTTTCTTTCTGTGGTTAAATACTCTTTATCTGTTGTGGTTTGGGTTTTTCTTTTTCTTTTTTTTTTTCTTTTGTGTCCCACCCACCCTCACCTCTGTTTTTTTCTTAAGTTTTGAGATTTACTAGGGGGGGAAAAAAGTTTAAACTTCTGGGTCTGTCACATGGATCTTTTAGCCATTTATGAACAGGTTTCTTTTATGCCTGGTTGTTTTTATAGCTATTTTATTATCTCTCTGCATTAGTGCTGCTGGCTCTGGTTTAAAGCAAGCGTTGGCAGGTAATTGGGGGAAAAAGAGTGTTTGTTGTTTGTGAGTGTGTGTGTTCTCCATCGGATGATTTAAGTGCATTTACAAAGGAATGTGGCTTTGTACTTCTCCGTTTCCTTGTTTACGAATGGCTATGTTCGAACAAAAATCTGGATGCAATTTTGATTTATGTTGTGAATCATGCATAAATGGATGTAAAAATCTTTAAAAAAGAAATGGTCAATGCTTACATGATTGCAGGGATGTATTCTTAAGGAATTATTTTTTTCTTCACTCATTCCCTCCCCCCCCTTTTTTTTTCTTTTTTTTTTTTTAAATTATATCTTTTCCTCTCTTACAGTGATGAGACAGTTAAGGTCTTTTTCTTCTATTGAGCCAAAATTTCAGTTGGATTCAGTTACCTTCAGACACCTGAATGTGCAAATCTTCTCATATTTGTCATAGCCTTCTTTACTGTTAGTGTTTTCAGGCCTTCAACGTATTTTGCTTATGTAACAGGCTTGGGTTAAAGATGCGTTTTATTCAATATGGTGGTCTTCCCTTTTTCTTCCTACCCCACTGATTGCTGTTAACTATTATTTTTTGGTTAGTTTCATTTTATCCTAATGAATTCAAGTTCTGTTTGTGTGTGTGTATGTATGTATGTGTTATCCTCTTGTCTTGAATTTTTCTCCTCCGTTCCCTTTCAACAGGCCATTGAAGACGGCAATTTGGAAGAAATGGAAGAGGAAGTACGGCTTAAGAAACGAAAAAGACGAAGAAATGTGGATAAAGATCCCGCCAAAGAAGATGTGGAAAAAGCTAAGAAGAGACGGGGTCGCCCTCCCGCAGAGAAGTTGTCACCAAATCCCCCCAAACTGACAAAGCAGATGAATGCTATCATCGATACTGTGATCAACTACAAAGACAGGTGAGTGTTTCTCCCCTTCCCCTTGGTCATCCTCGCCGAGACCCTGGGCCCGGCCATGGCAGAGCAGGCGTTACTGGGGTGTGGAGTGGGGCTGGTGCATCCTTCCTACTTAGCGTTCTGTGGCTCTCGCTCAAAGGTCTGTTCAAAATGGCCACTACTGCTGTCTCGTCTGATGTTTGATGGCTGTTTGGAAACAGGAGTGTAGATTACAAAACCAAGAATACAGTCTGAACTGGAGAAGGAGTCTTATGGATCTCTGAAATAACCATCAGGGATGTGGAAGGGTCGAAACCATAAAGGGAAATTATACTTCCGGGTTGAGTTGTTAGAAAAAGAATGGTCCTGGCATATTTAACGTAAATATTTCATGTGAAGACTCTGTTTACAACCAAACAGGTGCTTCATCGAAGTTACCTCTCCTCCTTTCCTCCCAACATTTCTGGACTCTCTTGTCTGACCACTCGCTTGAGCTATCTTCTTCTCCCCACTAATGCTATGTAGACAGCATATGGGAAAACGTTTGCCTCTTTTTCATGGAACTTTTGAATGTGAATTTTGAGAAATCTGTCCTGGATACTCTCCCCACACCATTTTAAACAACGAACAATTATTTGAAAACCAAAGCAGAGGTGCTTGAGGGTATCAGCTCGCTACAGTAGATAAATCTAGTTAGGCTACATTCTGGTGAGTTGATTTGGTGTCCACTTGATCATCATGTGATGCAGTTTTAATGGGACGATCACATCTCATTCCTATGAAAAAAATTGATAGGAAACAAAACAAACATTTTATTTCTCTAAATTGCATATGGTATTGATCATTTTAGTTAGCAATATATATATATATATATATATATTTTTTTTAATTTTATTTTTACATTAACTAGTGTTGCTCTGTATTTCTGGAAGTGTTTAAAATGAAGAACTAAGTTGTGATCTTAGTTTTTCATTGTGACTTTAGCGAATGTGTTATTCTAGGGAGAGAATGTCATTTTAAAGATTAAATAGTCACAAAAGCAAGAAACTTTCAAACATGGGGTCTTATTGTTAAGTTTTTATTATTTACTCTATATTGTTATTATTTTTCAGAAGTGGTGACGAGTGAGTGAGTGGGAGGAGGTGTGTGTGTGAAGGGTCAGAATAACTTGCCCCTCTTTACCGACCAGGTCTTGTTGGTCTCCTGCTTCCTAGTTTTACTATCCGCCCCCCCCCTCTTTTTTTTTTCTTCCTTTTTTTCAGAATTCTGAAGTAGCCGTAGGGGACAGCCCTGTTATATTGGATCTGAGTGAGCTACTTATTGACACAGGGGAATGACAGCAATTCAGGGAGGAAAAATTGGCCAGATGTCCATTCTTTTACTACATGAACAGCAAACTTCCTTATAAATCAAAAGTCAGGAACTCTGTCAAGTTTCTCTTTACCCCCAACCCTATGGGTAGGTTTGCAGAAGGCAGAACAGTTTGCATCCAGGAAACTGGCTTGGACTGTGACGCCTTATTAGCCCCTGGTTTAAAGAACAAAAATAGAGAATGTCACTCTGCATATACTTCTAACTCTTCTGGCCCTTTGTGTCTCTGACCAGGTGTGCCTGGGTCTCTGACAGGCATCTGGTCATTACCTGTTGTGAGTGAGGGTAGGGCTGCTGTAGTGCTGAGAACAGCCAAGGAAGTCCTGGGAGGCCAGGCCTTATATTCCCGGGATGGCTATCTCCTGCTTCATGGCATGAAAGAGGTGACCAGCCAGTGAACCACAGATGGTTTTATTTCATATTTCACATAGTTGGGTGTTTGTTTGTTTGTTTTTTAATAAAACTTTAGAGGTGGTGGTGGTTGTTCTACCCCCTTTTTGAAAAACCTAAATATCTGGCAGCAATCTACCCAACTTGCCCTCCGGCAGCAGCTGCTCAGGGTGAGGAAGTGGCTGCCTCCTCTGCCGGCTGTCTGTCTGTCTGTCTGTCGTGCTCTGGTTTGTCACAGTCCCCGTCACGCCACGCACGGCCCCTCCTCCAGGAGGAGTGCCTGTTCCCGTGCAGCACCAAGCTCCTCACACCCGGCCCCTCCGCTCCTCGCTGTCCCCTGCTGGCTCCACAGCCTTCGGAGTGTGTGACTTAGGGATGTCCATGGCTGTGGGCTGACCGCTTTCCTAGAAACCACCCAGAGAGGCAGAGGTCAGGCCACTTAAAGGTCAGCTAGGCAGAGTGCGGCCGTTGAGAGCACCAGCGCCTCTCGTGTTTCATATCAAACAGATGAAAGTGAGGGCCAGTTGGATTTAAAACCTAAATGTAAAAGGTAAAAAAAAAAAAATAAAAAAAAAAAAGATAAATTGAGAAAATGATTTTCAAATTTGACTACATCAACATTTAGAACTTGTAGAGATTTTTAAAAAACAGTCTACAAGATATGTGTTTTCACCATGTACAAAAGGATAATATTTACAACAAATTAAGACTGCTCTGTGGCTCAATAAGAAAGATAAGAGCATTCTGATTTAACTATCAATACGTGTGTTTGAATCCTAACCCTAGCATTTCCTGGGGTTGGGGGTGAGCAATTTACTTAGCCTCCCGGAGCCTCACTTTTCTTATCCACAAAATGGAATAATTACTCACCTGTCTCTTGAGGTGTTAGAGGATTTGATGAGTGAATACAGCTCAAGGCTTTTGGACAGTTTAATAAGGAATCATTAGCTTTTCAGACTGTGTAGAAGAAGCCACGGGGGTGAGTGGGGCTCGGCGCACAATAAAGTCAGTGTCCTTGCTGACAGGTTTTCCATCTTTTTCTTTCCAGAAAACACACTTTTTGGGGGACTGGCTATTGAGCAAGCTTTCAGTTGTGTGGTAGTGGAAGGAGAGTTACATACTTCAGCATGCAGACATTGAATAGTCCCCCCAAAACCCCCTCTGGTTTTATTTATTTATTTTATCTTTCCTTTGAAAAGTACCCCTCTAAGGTCGATTCTGTTAGCTCCCACATTTTAGGCACATGCTGGGGAATATGCATGAAATGTCCCACCACTGCGTGTTTCATGTACATTTCATGTCAATAACCCTCTAGAAAAAGCACTTACTCTATTTATACTGTTTTTTATTTTTTATTTCTCTTACCAAACTTGGTGTTCAAGTAGGAGGCGCTCAAATTAGGAGGGCTGTAATTAGATATGTTGTCATATTTTTGGTTGGATTTAGAGCACGCTGCTGGGAAACGTACCTCCCTCTCCGTGTGTTCAGATTTTTGCATCCTTAAAGTCAGCTTCTAATATAGTAACTCAGCCCGCCGGGAAAGGAAGCACCACCTGTGCTAACCTGCCTCCCGTCACCCCGGTCTGTGTGAGAGCTCCGTGAGGGGTGCACAGTAGCAGTGTAGTAGGCAGGACCTGCCATCTATATTTAATTGATATGTAAGAACTAACTATCTCTCACGAGACAGTTTCTCACTGCCGCCCCCGCCCCCCAACGTTCTTCTATGATTCTGGGACAGATGTATCTTCTTGTAAATAAAGGACCTGGATCCTGATGTACGCATCTGTTGGTTGCCTGTGTTTCCGGCACCAGGTCTCATTTTAAAAGGTCACCCCAAAGAGCCAGTGCTGTGGGGTTCATCTTTCGGCAGCGGTTGCTGTTGAGGTAGCGCTGGTCTGCTGCTCCCGGTTCCCACCGCCCCACCGGGTATTTCCCCAAACAGAAACCTCTGTCCAGTAGTGTCAAGAAGGCTTTGCTCTGACTTGTTTTAGCATGTTTTGTTTTCTGTTGATTTAGGAGACTTTTAAAACCATATTCTCAGTTTATGTGATATTTCTCCTAAGACTATTTCTTTCTTTTTTTTGTTAAGACTATTTCTTTGAAAATGAATTCTACCTGATTTGCATCTGTACCCTGTAGGCATTGTCCCCGGGCTGAGATGTAGAACATGATTCTGAAGAGTAGGGTAGGGTAGGACTATTCCAAGTTTAGAGACGTGGCTTCTAGTGTTGACCTGAGAAAAGAGAGATTCCTAGAGTGATTCTTTTTTTTTTTTTTTTTTTTTAATATACTTTATTGATTTTTTTTTACAGAGAGGAAGAGAGAGAAGGATAGAGAGTTAGAAACATCGACGAGAGAGAAACATCGATCAGCTGCCTCTTGCACACCCCCTACTGGGGATGTGCCCGCAACCAATGTACATGCCCTTGACCGGAATCGAACCTGGGACTCTTCAGTCCGCAGGCTGATGCTCTATCCACTGAGCCAAACTGGTTTTGGCACCTGGAGCGATTCTTAATATTGGGAGGGCTTTTATCTCTGCCTGGTCCAACTTCCCACAACCCATCTGTCGTCCAGCCTCAGTGTGGACATGCTTGGCATTAGCTCCAGTGTTAGGAGACAGGCCACCACTGAGCACAACTGCCATTTCCTGCAGTAAGATGGATTCAGTCCCCTGACTTCTGTATGTTCTACTCAGACCTTCGGAGAGTCTAAGAAATGTCCTTTAAAACATCTGTAAACACATTCACCCCAGGACATCCTTCTCCAGGCTGACACACCTCGCCCCGCTATCTGCTATCCAAGGAGCCTACAACTTGCACCACCCTGGTCCCCGACTTCAGCACATTCCTCTTCCTTAGTGTCCCATTTAACACGTGGCACCCGGAGCATCACATGGATTCTGCGGGCCAATTGCAGGGTGGTTAGCTGTCTTACTCCGAACACCAGGATCCTGTTAACATAACTCAGGAGGGTGTTAACTTCTAACAGCAGCTTTGACACAGAGTTAACTCGCGTGAACATGTGACTTGTTGGAAAACTCCTCCTCACCCAAACACGCAGACAGCTCTTTTCTCTCGCTGGAATGCTGTTTCTTTTCTTTTCTTTTCTTTTTTTTGAGCCTGCACCTACTGATATTATTCTTATCCCCATGCAGTTCCAGTTAACTGATGTTTTGTTTTCTCATTCTAGTCTACTGATCTATCTGAATTTTTGTGCCTTTTAAAAAAAATCAGACTTACTTCCTTGTCTTCCTAAGTTTCATTGGTCATCTGAAAATTTGCTATAGACTATTGCTGAACAATGGCTAAAAGGCAAAGGACAGGTCTCTATCATGCCCCCAAAAATCACTGCCGGTTGACACGGATTTATTAACCAGCAATCCTTAAAGTTGATTAGCCACGTGACCACGCTGTCACGTCACCCACGTTCATCCCTTTTCTCAAGGTTATCCAGAAGGGCTGAAACCAAGACATGGCACATATATGGCCTCCAATCTATCCACGTAGGATCCCCGCTGAAAGAAGGAAATGAGGTTCGCTTGCCATGGCTTTTTCTGAGAGACCCCCTTCTGGTTCTTAATGGCATTATTTATCTTCTCTAAACAGCCCGATGGCACCTGAGTCATTTCTCCTAAGTTTTTAGCAAGGGTACACTTCTAGCAGAGCAGTCTCCAGTTCCTTTTCTCCTTTTGAGCTGGGGGACATTTGCTTATCTTGGCTCTTCTGATTCCATTTCTGTTCTCTGGTCTCTTAACCATTATTAGCAGGAGCAACCTACACACCATCTCAGGATGTAATTAGTTTGTAACTGGACACTTGAACGCATTTGAAGGGTCTTGATAAGCTTTCTATCCACTCTCCTATCAGTAGCTTTTGTTCAGCCTTTATTATGCCTTGCTTTTTAAATCTGAGCATTGTTCTCCTTCCCAAAGAATCTGGAATCGGTATATGAGGTCATTGTCGCCTCCTCCCTCCATCAAGTCTTACAAGTTGTTAGACTTGTAGCAGGAGTATTTCCTGAGTTCGGGGCCTGTGGTTGTGAAGGGCCTGGACCTGAGGCCCACCAGCTTTGAGAAAGCACACAGGGAAGCAGTGGGAGAGGCTGGCACTATCTGCCTGGCCTATCTGGACACAGCCCTGGTACAGAGCACAGTGGCAACCACAGGACTTTTCTCTCCCTAGGGCTCTTCAGGCTCTGCTCTGTTTCCTGAACATGGACTGTCTTCCTGCCCCTTGTTTTAGTTAGCCCAGATTCTATATGAACAAGCCTTAGCTTGTTCTGAGTCCTACCTAGTTCTTTTTGTACTGTAGAACATCATTTGTTTATTGCATTCTCCCCCTCCCCCACCCGACCCTCACCCCCCATTTCCAGCCCTGTACTGCTCAATAGGGCCAGAGTGCTTCCTGCCTCCATGGGCTCACCATGTGGTGGGGTGGCCCTCCCAGCCCACGTTACTGAGCAGGCAGTAGACTGGGGAATTCAGGGAAAGGGGGGTCATGTGAGTCCATTATATGAGGCTACAATGACATCTCATGTTTATGGTCACTTTTAGGGGGGAAATGATGTATATGGACTCATTTAATTCATATATATGCTGAAAAGGCATTGGCTAGCATTTCTCTCATTTTGAGTAAAGCTTTACTGCTATTTTGAAGGTTCACAGGTAGTTAACTCATTCTTCAGAAGGGATGGACTCTCATTAAAAAGCATTGCATTGTTCCAAGATGTTTCTCCAAAGTGCCTTACCTGAAGGGCGTTTAGGTACTTGCCGTCTTTCCCAAGTTGATTCATCCCAAGGCTTCATGAGATTGTGTGTTTTTTTCACATTGTTTTTTTTTGAAAATAGGCTTGTAGTAAATACATTCTTAAAGCCACATCCATGCCATTATGTAATATTCTTTTTTGTCACTTTGTGTGTGTGTTTTTTAAATTATTTTTTAAAATATATTTTATTGATGTTTTAGAGAGAGGAAGGGAGAGAAAGAGGGACACAGAGCTAGAAACATCGATGAGAGAGAAACATTGACCAGCTGCCTCCTGCACGCCCCCTACCGGGAATGTTCCCGCAACCAATGTACATGCCCTTGATGGGAATCGAACCTGGGACCTTTCAGTCCGCAGACCGACGCTCTATCCACTGAGCCAAACTGGTTTCAGCTGCTTTGGGGTTTTTGTTTGTACTTTTTTTTGCGCCACGCCAGTCAGATTGCCGACCTTCTGGGTAGTAGCTGTGTCCCCAGGTACCCCTTACCAGCCCCATTGAAAGTTATTCTGCGGGAATTTCCTTTGTTCAGACCTCACACACCCAGTGAGCTGTCACTTCTGTCACTCTCAGACCACAGAACCGTGCCCATCTCCCCTCAAACGATTTGCATTGTGGTCTGTAGAATGTCTCAGACAGCGTTTGTCGTTCGCAGGTTTCTCTTCCATCACTCATACTTTCAGAGGCGGCACAGTCTATTTTGGCTTCTGCATCCCCTTGGTTAACACCGTCATCAATTCAATATCCCCTAAGTGCAATGATAAAAGCATTTCCCATTCTGTAACTTACTCCTAACATGCACTCAGATACCAGGTTTACTACACACGCACGCACAGGCACACACACACATCTCCCCAGCTCACCTCTTCTCTGCCTCCGGGCACCTGTCGTTCTCAGTGCCCTCCCTCCAGTGGCAGGCCTGGCCTGGGACAGCATGGCCTGCCTGTGTCCCCCGTCTCCAGTCGCCCGTCATTCTGACTTTCTCCTGGATACTTACCTGAGCATTTCACACGGTGACTTAGGAACTTCAACAGCTTCCCGTTGCACATTCCAGTAGCCTGCCTGATGATCCAACTCCTACCCTGGGGAAGATGGTCTTCCACCATCTAGCCTAGCGACCTTTCCAACTTGGTTGTCCTCCATGCCACCCCTTCTGTTTCAGACATTCCCAGCTACTTCTCCATAGCCTGCACTGCGCCTGCATTCTCTGCCTGGGCTTTGCCCGCTCTGCCATGCCTCCACTAGCCTAGGGCGGCACTGGCAGTGCCTCTCAGTAGGGATCCCTAAGTAGCCATGCCTGGGCCTAGGATGCCAATAGGCTCTAGGGTAAGATTTCGATGTGGTGGTGGGGGGGAGGGGGGGTCCCCCCTCCAGATTTGTCATACCTCCCCTAACCAGTTTGGCTCAGTGGATAGAGCGTCGGCCTGCGGACTGAAAGGTCCCAGGTTGGATTCCGGTCAAGGGCATGTACCTTGGTTGCGGGCACATCCCCAGTGGGAGGTGTGCAGGAGGCAGCTGGTCAGTGTTTCTCTCTCATTGATGTTTCTCTCTCATTGATGTTTCTAACTCTCTATCCCTCTCCCTCCTTCAATAAAATACATGGGGGGGAAATTAAAAGACCTGTCACACTTGTCAGGCCCTTCTCTGCCCCCACACAAAGGGACCCCAGCACAGCCGTTTCCAAACCCTCAAGGGCAGAGGCTCCCTGGAACTCTCAGAAGGGACCCTGGTCGTTTCCGGGAGCTGTTGGAAGGGAAGAGAGCTCCGGGAAGTAGAACCCACTCCCCAGGAGTGAGGTTCAGAACTGAGTCTGGCAGTTGTTTGGGGCTCCCACCACTAGTATGTGCTGGTGCCGTCACCAACTGCGGCCTCTGTGCAGGGTTCAGGGCAGCTTTCCCAGGTAAGTATTTTCCCCGTTTGCCAATGAGGAGCTAGACTGGGATAAGCTAAAGCTGCTTTCCTATGGTCTTCCATCCCCCCTGCACTCCTACCCTCACCCCCCATCCCCCACTGCTTCTAGAGCAGTGGATGGAGTGGAGGGAAGTGGGACCAGAGTAGTAGACATTTCCATGTTTGAGAGAAGCGGGAAAAGTCCCAAAGGAGGAGGAAAATCCTGGAGAAGTATTTATTTTTCCAGAACGAGGTTCCAGACATAACCCCGTGTGACCTTCCTGTGAGGTGGGCAGGGCAGGTAGGTGAGGCGACTGAGGCTCAGAGAGCGACATGAATGGCCCAAGGTCGCCCAACCTAGGAGGCAGGAGCCAGGCGGGACAGGTACCCAGGTCTTCTGACGCCGGTGTTCTTTCTACTCTACCGCAGGTGTAACGTGGAGAAGGTGCCCAGTAATTCTCAGTTGGAAATAGAAGGAAACAGGTCAGGATCTGTCTTGTATCCCCGTGTCTCTAAATTACAGGTATCCCTTCACCAAACCAGCCGATTCCTCAGAGGTCCCTCCCGGGGGCCCCTCCTCGGAGTGCGGGACACCCGCTGTGGCTTCTAGGGTTGTGTGCAGTGTTTCCATCTGGGGTGTCCATTCTCTGAGTGCACGTCTGACCAAGGCGCCCCCAGCACCTCAGCCATGGGTTTCTGCGGCTTCCCCCTCCCTCTGAGCGCAGCTTCTGTCGCACCCTGCGGGCCTCCTCGCTCTGCTTTGGAAGCTCCGCTCCATGGCAAGCAACGTGGTGCTTGGGTCTCCCGCGGCGGGGGCGCTGTGCCTGGCATTCTGCAGCGACAACCTGGCTGGGCAGGGTTCAGGGTGCGACTTCTGACTTCCCTGCCGCCTGTGGTCCTGGGTGTTCTGAGCCAGTCTGTAACCTCTGTGTGCCTTCGCTTCTGTCCGATGCAAAGTGGAAATGCTTTCCTCCCAGAGATCTCGTGAGAATGCGACGATGTCAGCTGAGAGGGATTTGCATGATTTACCAGGTTTGGGAGTTGTTGTGAAGACACTGGAAGTAGCATTTCTTTTCCCCTTTCAGTCGGCCTGTACCTTTAAGAAAATATCACTAGGATACTTAACGTCTCTTTTCCACATTTGTCTAATGTCCTTTAGGGCATCACCGTCCCCACTAGGTTAGGATCCCACTTAGGGCCAAGAGGAAAGAGATGGGGAGCATCCTGTGTTTCAGGATGGAGACCGATCACCAGCTGTGGCATTGTCCTGTGCCGAAGGAGGTTAAACGTGGGGGTCACTTGTACCTACCCACAGTCTGTGTGGAGGTGAAACCACTGGGCACCGTTGGTGTTCAGTAAATATTCGTCAGTCCCGGAAGCCAGACACACCATCCATCGTGTGTACTGAGAGACGTCAGTTGTGCTCTGTTTTTGCCACTGTAACAGCGAACTCGGTTTGGGTTTGAATTTTGGGGTTGAAACAATAAGTACTTGACTTTATTATGTGTGCAGTTTCAATAATGAACCGACAGGTAAACGCTCTACCCACAACACAGGACGGAGGCTTTCAGGTCTAAATGGTACTACACACCCAGCCCAGGGAACAAGGACAGATGGCTATTCTTCCCTTCTCCCATCGCCATGGCCATGTGACCATGGACAGTGGGTTGATAACCACCTTAAAGGGTATTGCAAGCCTCCAGTGCCATTTCTGGGCTCTCTGAGGAGACAACGTGACTGCAGGTGGTTGGGACCTAGATAAGTAAATGCATCGTTACGGAAGACGTGTGTGATCTGTAAGTTCCAGAGCCCTAGCAGGGGGCTGGGGTTTGCTTCCTCGGGCTCTGGGTCTCTTTCGTCCTTGACTCTCGCATTTGCTTCCTTTCCCCATTAGCCTGAGCTTACATGTTCGGAGGTTGTATTCTGATGAACACATTTTTTTAAATTACTTTTTAATTCCTTTCTTTGTGTGTTCAAAGGTACTGAGTGTTTTCTGTTCAATCCCTGTGCAAGTGTTGAGGATGGGAGAGAAATGAAAGAGCTCTATAAAGTAATAATGGATACCGAGGATGAGCAATATATGTGTATATGTCTATGCATGGGGTGGGAGGGGAGGAATGGGGCAGGGATAGGGAAAGCTTCCAGGGGGAATCCCCCCAGGAGACGGTGGCAGGGAGGAGGAGGCAAAGGTACTCAGGCCCGTGTGTGCAGGCAGCTGTGGAAGATGGGAAAGCAGGACCCTTACAGGGCCACACAGACCGTAGTAGGACTGGGCCATCGGGCACAGGGAAGAGGGACATAGCATGGGACGTGGTAATAGGTAAGATGACGAGAATAAAACCTTAGAGGTGTGATTGATAGGATTTAGGGGCAGACTAGATGTGAGAGGAGGAAGATAACTTGGATCTCTGTCCTGAGTGGTAAGTGAATGGTGTCATTTACAGAAATGCATGTGAAATGAAAACGTGGCATATGCATGCCTGTGTTTGCACGTGTGTGTGTGTGTGTGTGTGTGTGTGTGTGTGTGTAGCTACCCAGCCCCACGTACTCCATCCCAGGAAATCTAAATTCTCTCCATAGCTATTAACAGCCTCTGACGTTGTGATTATGTTGTTAGTATTGACTGTCCCTTCAGGACCAGCCAAGAAGCTCTTTTAGACAAATTTTATTTTTAGCCGTGCTGGCACCAGACGGTCCATATGTCTTTAAATGCTGTAGAGGGGCTGTGACTTTGGAGCCCAGGCCCAGGCACTTTGCACTTAACACCCTAATTAGATTATAGAGAGATGGCCATGAAACAGGAATGTGACCGAGTGGATACACCTTTCCTGTAGCTTCTTGGAAAATTCCCAGTGCAGTTAGAGGCTCTGCATGTCAAGTAACCTGGTGAACTTGGTTTAATCCAGTGTTTCCCAAACTCATTTGACCAGTGGAAACACACACACACACACACTTTCAAGGAACACTGTTAGCAATCCATTAAGCTTACTGTGTTCCATGGATGACACTTTGGGAAGTGTTGACTGTATGCTCAGTAGCTGGATTTAGTCCAGAGAGAATCTGCTCAGGGAGACCTGGATTCTAGCACTGTTTTGCCCTTGTTGCTGGAATGGACTTCTTCGACCCCTGGTGACTTGACACTTAACTAATGTTGCTCAGCCAGCAGGCAGGCAGGCCACAAGTCACCTTCGTCTGTTTGCTCTCCGTGGGGCCAGAGGCCTCCCCCAGGCTTCCGGCATTAGCCTGGCCCAGATGCCCAGGGTCTGTGCCTCTCCGGGCTGCAAGCTCGTCCCAGTAACTGGTGTCATTTATCAATGTTTCCCAAAGTGTGGTACGCGTACCCCCAGGGGTATGGGAAGAGTTTGGTGAGGGGTACGCGTTGCACCGGACGGAGTTTGGTGGGGATATGCACTGCACCGTGCTTAGCTGCGTCTAATTCTACGTTCTCATGAGTACGAGGGGTACTCAGCGTTACGAAAATTATAGAAGGGGTACACATATGTCAAAAGTTTGGGAAACACTGATTTACATGAATGGCCTCCCGGAGAGAGGGAAAGGAGACCCAGCTGGAAATAACTGTTCTATAAACTGTCTTTACCACAACAACTCCACAAGTGTTTTCCTCAAAAAATGGATTGCACCAAAAGAAGACAGTTATTGGGGCATCTATGGGAGTGGGCAAAAGTAGGTCTACGGCTCTTTGTACGGAAAACAATGCAATAAGGAGTAATACGAGAATAAATTGTTTTGTGTGTTCACAACTGTAAACCTACTTTTGCACCCCCTGTGTGTTCTTGTATATTCATGGAGGCGATGGGGATTCATTCCTTTAGAATCACACCTCCTAGGTCTTCCTGAAGAATTCACTCAAGGGCCATTACAGGAAAAAGCAGTGCTCCACAGCCTGCTGTGACCCACCCCTTTGACACTCACCCCTTTGACAAAGGGACGCCTGGGGTTTTCCGCTCATGTGTACTAGTAGAAGCATTTGATTTTGTTCGCCTGCAAAAGCTTTATGCTTTCGGGTTGGGTCACAATCCAGCCAAAATCTTGGAAGCATCTTTTTACCTTTATGAAGCAGAGGCCCAGGGTAAGAGCAGGGGACCGAGCTGCCAGCGGGAGGGAAGGTAGGTCCTCACCTTTTGGAAGGAGGGCGTCCTCTGAGGGACGCCACGGTCTACAAGTTGAGGTGAAGGAAGTTGGCCGAGTAGCTGACCGAGGACGCAGCAGTCCTTCAGCTGTCACGTTAGACAGATGAACAGTGAGAATACCATACCGGTACCTGCTGTTAGGAAATGCTAAGTGAGAAAGAGAGAAGCATCTAGATGTCCTGAGTCACTATTTCTGAAAAGTCAAGTGACAGATGATCTAACTTCTCAAATGTCTCCTCAAAACGCTTAACTAGACAAGCAAACAGGTGATACTCTATGAACCCCATGTCCTGCTGAGCACCTCTGATGTGCAGTAATAAGTTCAATGATAGGATTCCGAATAGAAGCTATAGATTCTGATCGTTGCAAGATATTAAAAATTTCATAGAATCATTCTGTGTATTTGGTTTTGTACGGTAGAGTGAAAAGGTGCTAATTGGTGAAATGGGATGTTCATGCTGATATAAATAAGGGTGGGGCACAGGCCCCTTGGCATTGCTCTGGGAAAAATCAGATTAGACTTTTGACTTACAGCATGTTTTCAAAGAAGGTAACCCAATAAAAGGTATTTGAGACCTACTTTATTTATGGATGATGATATGCTTCCATGGTACAATAATAGGTTGTAATTCTTTTTTAAAAAAAAAATAAGACTACATTTTTAATGTTTATTTTTGCTCTGGCATATAGTTAATGCCTTTTTAAAAACCTCATTGAAGTTTTCTGCTTTTAAAATGTGATATCCTATGTGGGTTTTTTGGTGTGTTTTTTCAGTAACGTTGTCATAACAAGTATTTATTCTTTAAGGCACATAATTTCAAAACACATAATTATGGACTCTATACATATAAAATTATATATACACATACATGTATATAATTATGTGTGTGCATAGACACGTGTAAAATATCTATCCATAAGATATATATGCATCTACATTTGTAGTTGAGTGGATTACCAAAAGCAAAACCATGCTTCCCAGCATGATTGTACTGAGGGCTCCAGATAAGCCTCAGTGCTTTTCTCCTTGAGTTGGCCACGCCTCCTCAGTCTCCTTACATCAGGCTTTATCCTTTATCTTGCACTAACTGGACGCAACCTTATTTCTGTTGACAAGTCGGGCACATCGTATACCTACAGTCCTTAACATAACGCTTGGTCGTTTTTACACCCACCTATTGATTCCACTATCAGAAGCAAGTCTGCCCCCTCCGTTCTGTTGTCTTGGAGGTTAGATTTCCAAGCTTGTGGGGAATTACCATCCCTCAGCACCCAGTAAGATTCAGAGAGAGAGCATAGTGAGTCCAGAGTGCAGGTGCAGGTGCTACCTAATTTGGGGTGGTTAGGATGCCGGCGGTCTCTCTGGTTAAGTGTGGTGCTGCTCTGATCTGAGTGCATGTGTACGTGACATGTATTAATTAAATCTCCCAGGAGCATGACCCCGAAAAGTGGCAGCTTGCTTTCACCTACTAGCCTCCAATGCTGATCCAGTTTTAGAGTTGTTCCCTCATGATTTCCTGGGTTGGATTCCTTTAGGACTGCAATAACTTTTCTGTAAAATTCTCCCAACTCCATGTGGTCTTCCAAACCATGACATTGTTTTTTTAGGCAAGGTAGCCACGATTTTACATTCATTAAATAAAACCTGTCTCAACTTTAATTAAAATCTCTTTGTCAGAAGTAGCTATTGGAAATGCTTGTCGATAGATTAGGGGTCAGATAAAAAGGAAAACCATAAAGCAGCAAAAACAACAAAAAAAGATAAGCTCACCCAATATCATATTTTCTTGGTTTGGGCTTGTTGGAAAGCCATAATATTTTAAAGGAGTCGGTTTCCCAGGTGGCATTTCAGCCTGCACTCTTCCATCTATACCTAAGCTATCATCAGAAGCTGATGCAGATGTAGTGTTGATAAGGTGTGCAGTCATCATTTTAGAATCACAGGAGTATAGACATGAAACTGTCGCCACTGGGTGTGTGGAGATGACGGGAGAAATACTGGTTCCTGTCGCGCTGGCCTCTGCGGAGAGAAGCGGTGCCTGCCCACCAGCACCAGGAGATTCCGTTCGGTGCAGTGGGTTCCTTTACATTTTTATTTCAGGTTACGCTTTGCCCCCTCCCCCCACCTTATGTCTTATCAGGGTCACGTTTCTCACTTTGTGGTAGATCACTGTATAAAGCAGATCTGAAATGACAGGCCATGGGTGGAATCCTTTTTTGGAGGAGGGCAGTGGGCATCCCTTTTGTGATGGGAAGCAATTTATACGTAGGCCTCAAATTGTGTAAAATGACATAAAGGAAAATACTTTGGGGGTAGGGTAAGCATTTCAACTGAAAAGGAGCACCTTCTGCAAACCACTATACAATTAGTCCATTGTTCTGTACTTAAAAAAAATTACATAACTTTCCAGCACTGGTGGGAGGGGGAGGAGCACTTGAAAGGTATATTGAAAAGGCCTTTGCTCAGCTTAAGTTGATAAAGAAATGCCAAGAATTCAAACTACCAGGCAGCTGCACTTCCACTTCTTTATTATCCCCCCCACACACCCCCCATTTATTATATTTGAGGGAAAAATACATTGACTGCAGCGATTCCCTAGCGAGTGGTCACAGCGACTCGGTGCGTCCTGTCGGTTATGTGCTCCGGGACCGCCTGGCATCTCCTCCTGCCCGCCAGTTCCTCGGGAAGGGCAGGGGCAGGGCTGACTGCAAGGAAAACGCTCCCACCCAGTGTGTGGAAGGCGGAGGAATTAAGTTCTGAGCAGTGAGGCACCGAGAGCTAGTTACTGGGGAGAATTCCTTTCATTTTTATGGAAGAATTTCTTTTAATTTTTATGGGAGAATTTCTTTCATTTTTTTTTTTTTTCAATCCTGGATGGATAATGAGGTACTTGAAGAGGGAAAAAGGATAGAGACCTTCCAGCCACGGAGTGAGAGATGGGTCAGTTCTGGAAACCTAAGTAGGGTGTGTGTGTGTGTGTGTGTGGCCATGGTTCTTGGAGGTACACAGGGGAGGGGAGAGGCTGTATCCTGGCCGGGTTCACACAGGGGAGCCGAGAAGGCAGCCAGCCACAGGAAGACTTCCTTCCACAGCCCGGGTCCTCCAGTGGCCGGTGTGCTCTGCCCTCAGGAAGGGGGAAAAGGAAGTGGGCTAGGAATGTTTTGAAACAGAATAAATTTGTCTCGTTTTACACTGTTGGCCCCATGTCTCAGAACATTCAGTTCCCTCTCTTAGGAGCACATGTAACTCCGGACTCGTCTCCTTATAAGGTCCAGAATTTCTGTGACCTGACTGAGGACTGAGTCATCAGACCAAGACCACTGAGCCATTTTGGTTCTGTTAGAGCTTTCTCGCACCCGTGGTGCCAAACACTCAGTGGCAGAGCTGAAGTGAAGAGGGTGCCCATCACGGGGGACAAAGCAAAGATGTGCTCCTAGTGTGTCACCAGAAAAATGACACCTTCTGTTGGCAACGTAGAAAATGACACTGACGATGTCATTGAGGGTCAGGTGTTAAATCCAAGATTGCAAAGAGGTCTGACTTCTTTATTGTTGCTAGGTTACGAGAATGCTAATCGTAATAGAAATAGAAAAATTCTACAGTATCTATAAATCGCCTTTCAGATATTCCTTTTCAAATAGGTAAAATGTTTCTCTATATAAAATCTCAGAATGGTAGAAAGAGAATAGACCAGAAAGTGTGGCTGTGTGTTGAGGGCGATAGTACATAAAATGGGTTTTGCCACATACTGTGCGGTGTAGCTTGTGGAGGTACAAATGCATTTCTCAGCCCAGGAAGGTGGGGAGGGGGTGCGTAGGAGTGACTGCGAGTGTGTGTGAGAGAGAATACCTTGATATTCTTACCACAAGAATCTAAGAATTCAATTCCCTATTCCACTATAGTCTCCTTAAGCCTCTTTGTGTGCTCCTGATTTTAGTATTCATGAAGCCCATATATGCATTAAAAAAATAAAACGGTGACCTAGTAAAACAAAAACTCGCCCATCCCTTTGACAGAAGATTTTCAGCTAATTTATGCAGGCCCCTTTGCACTTCAGCATTTTCCCCCACAGGTTGCTAGGCAACCGTCTGAGTTACTGCGCATGCCTTTTTTATGATAACTGTCATTACGATTATTTTTTAATTATACAACTGGGACTATGGATTAAAACGGTACATTGTCACTCATTCTTTGCTGCTGCTTTTAGCATTCTGGCACATTGCTAAAATCGCCTCAGAAATTGACATGGCAGTGATTTACGGGTTTTTTTGTGTGTGTGTGTGTTTTTTTTTAATATATTTCTGGCTTCACAAAGGAAAGCAAGATGGCATCACAAGAAAAGCGAGGCTATTGTGAAAAATGGCTATACCATATCTTACCAGCTGTTACTGATCTGGATAAGCCACGTCCGATAGTAGGCTTGTGAATCTAAATGACGTACATTTTGTTCTTTTAACCATGTCTGTGTCTCATATTAAATGACGTCAGAAGCTTATATGTCCCTTTATAGTCTTTTTCTCAAAAATTACAAAATGCTAAGCATTTGTTGCTTAATCTGCTTACAAATAATAAAACTACCGTGCATTTGGGGGAGGGCACAGCACTCATTCCGGCAGCGTTGGCGTCCACACTTGCTGATATGGTTGCCCTTTTCTGCCCAAATTGCTCCATACCACACAGAAGTGCAGTTAGGCGAGATGAAGGGGTTCCTCTGGCGAATAGCAATAAAGATGTAAAGTGCTCTAAAAAGAACAGGACTGAAAAGGTAGACGTCCCTAGGTGCACATACAAAAGCACTTCCTTTGCCGTTCCGGAGTATGTTCAAACCTATTTTCTTAATATGAAATGAATTTGAAGACAAAGGAATATGGAAATAAAGTCTGGCGTGTGTGTGTGTGTGTGTGTGTGTTTTATCAACTCAATTATTATTCACTTAAAAAAAATGTTGGTTGAAAGGGGCATTTTAAACTTTCCCATCAAAACGAAGAGAGAATTGCTATGCTGGGTGTGTGGCAGAAGTTGGGACTGAGTGGCACTTCCGTGTGATTCTGAAGTTCGCAGGAGAGACCTCCGTCTCCCGTAGAGTTGGGGGGTTTTCCTTGGCAGAAGGAGGCCCCATCTATGTGCGTGGGATGGCGGTGTGCTTTTCTGACACTTTGTGAAATGAAATAACAAGGGAGCCTTTCCTCAGGAGTGCGTGCTCTGTTATGTGTCTGTTTGTTTTCCCCACCCTACAGTTCAGGGCGACAGCTCAGTGAAGTCTTCATTCAGTTACCTTCAAGGAAAGAATTGCCAGAATACTATGAATTAATTAGGAAGCCGGTGGATTTCAAAAAAATAAAGGTAGATAAATTTTTTTTTTTTTACAAACTTTTTTTTTTGTTTTTTAATAAAGAAGTAAATTCATTGAAATGATGATAGGACGTGAGCGGCGGCATCTTGTCTGATTGCCACTGACACCCATCCAGGGCCTTGTGCCTTCACATGCCTGTTGTTTAAACATCTTGCTGGGAGCTCGGTTTCATTGTATTGCATTTTATTGAAGAAGTTTCAGACTCTGCAGACCCATTGCTCTTTCCGCTTCCCACCCCTCCTTCTCTCCCCCCCTCTCCCTCCCCTAAGAAGGCACGTGGGTGGGAGGGCGGGCTCTCTGGACCGCACCCCAGGCAGAAGGGACCTGCAGTGAATGCAGAAAAGACAAAGGGAAAATTGGGTTTTGTGAAGCAAGTAGTAACTTGTATTTTTCTCTCCCTCCTCTTTTCCTCCGTTTTATCGCAAATATTCCATCAGGAAAGGATTCGGAACCACAAGTACCGGAGCCTGGGCGACCTGGAGAAGGACGTCATGCTGCTCTGCCACAACGCGCAGACCTTCAACCTGGAGGGCTCCCAGGTCCGTGCGCGCCGCCCGCAGCACTCCCCGCCCCCCCTCCCCGCGTGCCTTTAAGTAAAGCGTGGCCTTCTCTACATTGGCACCGCTGCTACTCCCCTGGCAGAAGGAAAATGAAAAAGCAAAAGCCTGAATTCCATGCCACCTGCGTACGCAAATTGAGGCTTTGGCGTTTTCAGAGCCAGGCCAGCTCTTCTGTACCACAGCTGCTCCAGCTCCTGCTCAGGCTTCGCTCTCATTAGAGAGGAAGTCCAGTCGGTCACTCCATGTCATGCTTGCAGCAGGAGGTCCAGCCTGCGCTTCTACAGATTGTGCATTTGATTCCTTTTTTCTGATTGTAACCTTGCACGGGGAGTTGAAATTACTATGATTTAAAACCAAGAATACTCACACACACACACACACACACACACACTTTGCCATAATTGCTTACCAGAATTTCCTTTTCTTCAGGCCATTTGCAATTCTCTTTACTTTTCCATCCACAGTGAGCAAGCTTAACAGTATAGAAGGGACAGTGAATTTATGAAAGATAATTAGGGGGAGGACACTTTCACTTTAATTCCACTTCAGTTCCTCTCACCTTTTGTGGGAGCCCCTGTTTTCCTGTGTGTTTTTCTGGCCTAATGCTCCTCATACCCGTGAAGAAAGACCAGGAAGAGAGGCCTGTGTGTCTGCCAGCCAGTGCACCGTCAGCCACCACTGAATTCCTTAGGCCGCTTTCCGGGTGTGGCTTCTTGACCTTCCTGTCAGTTCCAGTCACTAATGTGGAGAACACGGGACTCCTCAGACTGTGCCTTGAGCAGGCTGTACGCGTCTCGGTTAGTAGCAGTAAACAGGAGTACTGTTTGGACCAAAACAGGTCCGGAAAGCAAACCTGGTGTGTTCAAGACACTTTTCAAAGACAGCTGAGATGAAAACCAGGACACAGAGGGTAAATACATGAGTCAACCAGGAAGTCTTTCTGTGAGGGACCATTTACAGTCTCCAGATAGGTTTTGGGCCCCACTCGCTGTCTCACCCCTGCCATGGCCTGAGACTGGCTTCCCTGCCAGCCCACCCTGCGTGTGAAGGGATCTTTTTCTGACCACCCTCTTATCCTGTCCATCTACTGCCCACCAAGCTCTGTGGTTCCCTGGGTGCTGTTGAATCCTCCAATACGTTTCATCTCCATGGGCTGTTTTCTGAGGTTGTGCCCTCCCCTAGCTCTTCAGCCTCATTTTCTATGAAGTGAGGAACTAACTGAACAACTTATGGTCTAGTCAGACTGGTCCCTTAAACACCAGCTCCCCGGGTTGTGCACGCAGTTGTGAGACACTGCAGGGAGCCTGTGTACCTCTCCCACCTTCACAAGGTGTGACGTGCTGTGTGCCATAGTCCATTGTCATGGCCCGAAAGTTGACAAAGGGTCAGACCCAGGTGTGTCTTTTTTTTGTTTGTTTTTTTGTTCTTGTCTTACCTTTCTCGCTTGCTCTCCTTTCTCACCTCCAATGGAATCCTCCTCGCCTTTAAGATCTAGCTCATCTGTGATGTCTCCAGCCCAGCGCTGACACCCCAGGCCTGTGTCCTGTTGGGCTGTATTATTGGGGCTCACCACCAGTGGCCGGGTGTGCGGCTCATCTTTACAGTAAAGGTATACAGCCCTAGAGAGCAGCGGTCATTTTTTTCCTTTCTTATTTTTGGCTTCATTTTATCATTTTAACAATTTTTAAGTGTGTAGGCCACTAGTGTTCAGTATACTGTAATTGTCATGCAACAGATCTTCCTCACTCTCGTCTTGTAAAACAGAAAAAACTCTTGTTCCCGTTAAACAAGAGCTCCCCTCTTCCCCCTCCCCCTGGAAACCACCATTCTACTTTCTATGACTTGGAGTATTCTGAGATACCTCCTAGGTGGAATCACTGAGTATTTGTCCGTTTGTAATGGGCTTATTATTTTACTTAGTGTAATGTCCTAGGGTTCATCTATGTTGTAGCATGTGGCAGGATTTTCTTCCTTTTTAAAGCTGAATAATATCCCATGGTGTGCATATACCTCATTTTATCTATTCTTAGTGGACATTTGGTTTGTTTGTACCATTTGGCTATTGTGAATAACGTGCTGTAATGAATATGGGTGTGCAAATCTCTCTACAACTCCTTGCTTCCAATTCTTTCGGCTGTGTACCTGTAAGTGGGATTGCTAGATGTGTGGTTTTAAATTTTTAAAAATTTTTAAATTAAAAATTTTTATATTTTTTTTGGAGGAAAAAAAAACATTTCAGAACTTCATTTTCTCAGCAACTACAGGGCTATGCTAAGGTATTTTTAATACTAAAAATAAAGTATTGATTGGAATAGTATTGACTGGTACTGATAAGCTCAGGAATAAAGAATAGCTTCCATTTCGTTAGGGGGATTGCATTTTAAAGAAGGTTGCTTTGCCACACCATTTGATAGACCAATTCAAATAAAAGTTTTTTAAACTACTTTTGTCAAAAATGTGAGGATTGGTTACAGAAGTCCACCCTTCTCTCCCAGGTGTGCACCTGTACACACAAACACAGAAATACAGACACGTACACACTACAAATATTTCAACTGCGTTTGGACTTTTTTCTCTAAGAACGTGTGTTTGTATTAGACCTGGGCTTTTTCCTGTTTGACTGTCCTGTAGGCAGAAGAGCTGGCACTGTTGTTTCTAGTAAAATCCACGTAAAATGAAGCTGGCATGCTTCAAGAGAAGCAGCGCCCGCTGCGACCGCGAGTCTTGGGCCCTCAGCTTGTCGTTCCTAACAGATGCCGCTCCGCCCCTTTAGATCTATGAAGACTCCATCGTCTTACAGTCGGTGTTTAAGAGCGCGCGGCAGAAAATTGCCAAAGAGGAGGAGAGCGAGGACGACAGCAACGAAGAGGAGGAGGAGGAAGACGAAGAGGAATCGGAGTCGGAAGGTAAGCTCGGGCGTCAGGTTCTTCTACCTCGGTAGAACGTGCTAGAAACACTGACCCTCCGGCCCCTGTGCAGTCTACTGACCTGGGACTCGGGGAGTAACAGGCAGGAGGCACTGACCATAGTGTTGACAGAAAATGTCTATTGCACTGGTTTGCACAACCTCCAGTGAGCATTCGCCACATGCTGAGCATGGGGGTGCGCATTACCTCATTTTCCAGAGGAGAGCGCTGAGCTTGAGCTGGCTTAAGGCGCTCGCTGTCTGAGGCAGCCCGGCAAGGACATGGCAGAACAGAGCCGGAACACAGGTCAGTATGTCTCCAGCTTCTGATTTTTTAGCTCCTGTTTTTCCTACACCTAAGTATTTTGTTCATAAAAGTAGAGCACACTGTTTTATAGCATGTTTTCTCTTTTATTGGGGACATTTTCCCACAGCAATCAGTGTGGTTGTGTTTTTTGTGGTTTTTTTTTTTAACAGCAATTTATATTACCATTTATTAATGAATGTACCAAAATATATTATTCTAAAGAATGCTGTCTTAAACATTCTTACCCATAAATCATTGCAAACATCCGATGCTTACATGTTACTACACAGTTGGAGTCCACTTCCTTGACGGCGGTCTGTTTCCCATATCCAGTATCAGCCTTCCGAGTGATACTGCCTTTTATTTGTTCAACCATTTTCCATTTTATACGGTTCTCCCCCAGTGCTTATCCCTGCACTTGATGAATAAACCCACATTATCTTAGCTAGGTATTTCCTTCTGGAGAGCCAGATTTCTCATCTGTTTTCAAAGAGCTGCCGCCCAGGCCATCTATCACTTTTACTTCTCCAGTCTCTCTCGAGGCTTGGCGTGTTAACTAGCTGTTGCTGTTATTACAAGTTCCCACGAACTCTGTGGCTTAATCAAACAGCTGATGATCTCCTAGCTCTGTCCGTCACAGGCGCGGTGTGGGCAGTCTTTCCTCCTCTGTCATAAACCTCCCATATATAGTTAATTTATTTCTGGGCTTTTATTTCTGGGCTCTCTATTCTGTTCCATTAATTTCTGTGTCACTGTTTTGATTACAGTAACTTTGTCATAGAGTTTGAAGTTAGGGAACGTAGTACCTCCAACTTTGTCCTTCTTTCATAAGATTGCTCTTTGGCTATTGATGGTCTTTTGTGTTTCCATAAACATTTTAGTGTTATTTGTTTTATTTATGTAAAAAATGCCACTGGAAGTTTGATCGGGATTGCACTGAGTCTGTAGATTGCTTGCTCTGGGGAGTATGGACATTCTAATGTTACTCCTTTCCATTTAAAGAGCATGAACTATGCCTCCCTGTATTAGCACCTTCTTCAGTGTGTTACTTTCAGCATATAGGTCCTCCTCCTCCTTGGTTAAACGTATTCCTCCGTGTCGTCATCGTCTTGAGACGCACTAAACACAATATTCTAACAAAACTGGCTTGAATGAGAGATCCACATTCTCAGTGACTTCATCATCATGTCCTAAGAGGGGTGTTCTGTGGAACAGATTTTCTTCATACTTGGGGATACACACCTGTATTTATGCTATAGCCCATTGAACACCTCTAAGTGCTTTTGTTCCCATCCTCCGAATAGCCCTGTGAGCGGGGAAATGGCCACATCCCTGCGGGCTGATTGTATCGGGGTCTAGTAATAATAGATGTCGTTTTTAAACAGTCGTTTAAAATCTTGCTTGGCGTTGACTTGTATTGACATAACCTTCAAACACGTGGTATCTACAGAACGTGTGAAGTGCAATTAACAAGTTTTGCTTGAAAAAGTTTGTGTTTGGTTTGGTTTTTGTTGCAAAACTAGGGCTAAGAAGATGGCGGATGAAGAGCATATTCGGCACTGCATGCTTTACGAGTTCCAATTAGGAAGAAAAGCAAGTGAGGCTGCAAAAAACATCTGTAGTGCCAGAAAATGCCAGCGTTGGTTTGAGAAATTTCGCGAGGGAAATTTTTCGTTAGATGACAAGAGTGGTCGAGGCCGTGTGTCCAATTTTGATCAAGAAGCTCTTCAAGCTCTTTTGGTGCAAAATCCTCAAATTACCCAACAAGAGCTTGCGACAACTTTAAATTGTTCACAAAAAACAATTTCCAATCAATTGCGTGCACTTGGCAAAGTCCAAAAGTATGGAAAATGGGTTCCTCACGAGTTGACCGACAACAACCGTAATCAAAGAGTCACAATTTGCAGTTCGCTCCTCTCTCGTCAAAACCGTTTGCCGTTTTTAGAGCAAATTGTTATCGGAGATGAAGAATGGGTGCTGTATGTTAATTTGAAAAGGCGGCCTCAATGGTTGGACAAAAATGAGGCTCCGCAGCCCACGCCAAAACCTGACTTGCATGCGAAAAAAGTGATGTTGTGTGTTTGGTGGAATTTTAAAGGAATTCTTCATTATGAACTTTTACCATCTAACCAAACCATTACAAGTGCAGTGTATAGTGCCCAATTGGAAAGGTTAGCCCAAGCTTTAAGAGAAAAAGAACCCGCGCTGACTAATCGGAAGGGCGTAATTCTTCACCACGATAACGCACGACCGCATACTGCAAGAATCACTGCTGAAAAACTGCGCCAGTTGGAATGGGAAGTTCTCCCTCAACCTGCATATTCTCCTGATATTGCCCCTTCCGATTACCATTTGTTTCGTTCTTTGCAAAACTTTCTTCTTGGAAAAAAATTTAATAATGAAGAATGCCTCAAAAATGCATTGACCGAATTTTTTGCATCAAAATCACAAGAATTTTACAACAGAGGGATTAAAATGCTTCCTGAGCGTTGGGCACAAGTAGTAGAAAACAACAGCAACTATATTGTTGATTTCATTTTATTGTATTGTTTAAATAAATTAGATTTAAAAAGTATTAGAAAACGACATTAATTATTACTAGACCTAATAGATGACCATTGATAGAAGCTTGCCATTGTTAGAAGCTTGCCATATGAATGTGCACCAGACTGCCCCCAAATTCTGCTAAGATCTGCCAGCAACGGGCTTCATGGCACTTAATTTCTAGAGGGAAAAAGCTGGGAACTTTAGCACCCATCCCTAGGGGACTGGTTAAAAATCACAGTGTACACATAAGGTGGACATTTTCCAGGTTGGTCCATAGAAATGCCCCATGGCTGTGAGGAAGAAAGCACGGTGTGGAAATGAGCATACAACCACCCCCTTGGGACAGGGTATAAAGGGTGTGTGTGTACACACACGGGTGGCTGTATGCGCAGGGATGGATGTGAAATTCTTTTTCTGGCAATAATCACCAGAACGAGAACAGTAGGTAGAGAGATGGGGGAAGGGAGCTTTCATATTCACTTGCTTGAGCGTTTTGTTTTTACTTTCCATTTTGAACTTTTCTATGCTGTCAAAGGAAATTCAAATAGTTGGATTTTCTTTCTTAAATGTCAAAGTTCTCTGTCTACACCACCCCCTCCACAAAGTTGAAGGTCCTCTGCCTGTCCCGGGTCCCTCCTGTGACCTGTGTACCCTCAAGGTCTGTGGTGTGTGCGCTGAGGCGTGTTTGCAAGTGGAAGGGGTGCGAACTAGACAGGATGACAGAAACCAGGTAGAAACTACGAGTGACCTGGACACTCCTGCACAAAGGAGTTCCCTGCGACTCCTCATTGCTGTTTCTTTTGTTTCCACTGCAGCAAAGTCTGTTAAGGTGAAGATCAAGCTCAATAAAAAAGACGAGAAAGGTCGGGACAAGGGAAAAGGCAAGAAAAGGCCAAATCGAGGAAAAGCCAAACCTGTGGTGAGCGACTTCGACAGCGACGAGGAGCAGGATGAGAACGTAAGTGGAGCTGGGGCCGCGGCCTCTCCGCTTTGGGCTCCTCTGACGCTCCCCTGTCCTTCCCGGCCTCCTCTCTTTATTACCTGGAAATGAAAACGTCAGGATTGGGTGAGATTTCATTTCTGATGGATGTGCACGGCACTGCCTGCTTACAGAACGAGGAATTTGGGTCTTTGTTTATTGCTTTTTTAATAGTCTTCAAAAATGAAAAACGCTAAATCAAGTTTCCTTCCTTCCTTTCTTCTCTTCCCACTGCTTACTTACAGATAGAGTTTTCTCCAGGGCCAGTTAACATTTTACCTCCTAACCCTCAGCATCATGCCTGGGCAATGTATAGATGGAATAAGGATTAGGTGAAAGAGTAAGAAAAAAAGTTAGGATGTCAGAGTGCTGGGTTTGAGTTGCTTTTTAAAACACTGCAAAAAAAAAAAAAAAAAAATCCAAACAGGTGAATTTTTAAGTATCTAGAAAGTGTTATTGTTAATAATTTTAAAATTCAGACAGCATTTACAGAGCCTGAAAATAAGGACCTTTCTATGTGGAACTACCACACATCCAAAACGGAAGCCATCCCCGCACCCCACATTTCAAATTTAATTTAACAAATCAATTTGCAATTAATATAATAAAAATAAATGCATTACAGTTCAGGTGTTCTTGAATATTTTCACCTGAAAATGCTCGGGAAAGATAATTTTAAAGTTGGACAGGGCTGCCACTTAGGGAAAACATTTTTTTTTTTTTTTTTATGGACGCGCTGGTGTGTGGGGAAGGTCCGCTGCTTGCGTCTACAGACGCTTAAGGCGTGCAGTGGGCTAATGCTTCCGTTAGCACCGTGAGCTAGATGCTACATAAATCCTTGTTTAGGTTATGTGTTTCGCTCCAGTTGAGGTAAGTAGATGGCAGAGCCTGAATTCAGGTGCAAATAGCTGGACTCTCTGGGCGGCCAGGGGGCAGGGACTTCTCAGAGCTCGGCACGCTTTGCAGAGGGCCTCAGGTTCCCACCCTGACTGCTTTCTCTCTGGAACATTCATTTTCCATTCCATTTAGAATACTGTGCTTCCTTCCGTAGATACACCAGGGAGTAGACAGCAAATGCGTGGTACTTTTTCCTCCCGTGAATGTTCTAAAACATAACCTTGCAGGCCACAGCGGGAGAGGGAGAGACTGGCACAGAGGGCGGGTGTCGTGTTAGTCTTTCAGCATCGAGGCCTCCGTGGGGTGTTCTCATCCTCCCATGGAACAGAGAGGCGTGGGCATTAGCTTTCCGACACGTCATTCCTTTTCCCCACGTGATGGGTTCTGTCTTCTTTTCCTTGTTTTAACTTCGTTCCATTTTACCTTCCTTTGTCTCAGGAACAGTCAGAAGCAAGCGGGACTGATGACGAGTGATGGATACGGACCTTGTCCCAACAAATTCCTTCCTCCCCTCTCACTTCTACCCAGTGAGTTCGTTTGTGGTATGGGCGCTGGGCTGTTTCTATATCATCCTCATCACCTACACACTAGCTTTAGGATAGTGCCAGACAAACATATGCTATCATGGTGTAAAAAAAAACGCGCACACAAATATTTGTAACATATTGTGACCAAACGGGCCTCAAAGATTAAAACCAACAAAATAAAAGCTTTTGATGGAAAATATGTGGGTGGATAGTATATTTCTATGGGTGGGTCTAATTTGGTAATGGTCTGATGGTGCCTGGTTTTATCACCTGCTCCGATGAGAAGATTTTTGTCTTTTTGTAGCACTGATAACCAGGAGAAGTCATTCAAAGTCACTGGTTATTTTATTTTTCATCAGGCAATTTTCACGATTTTTATTTGTTTGGTTTTTTTTTTTTTTTTTTTTTTTTTTTTTTTTTTTTTTTTTTTTTTTTTTTTTTTTTTTACACTGTGGTACATATAAGCAATTTTAATAGGTGATTAATGTACAGTAGTTAGACTTCACCTGCATAGACATTTTTCCATTTTATGCTCTATGATATGACCTAAAAAATAAAACTGCTTTTTGAATTGTATAAGATTTACGTCTACTGTAAACATTGTTTTTTTTTTTTTTTTTTTTGCTCTTGATTTAAAAGGTTCTGTTGAAATGCTATTGAATATTGCAGTCTATATAGTGCATTGGATGGCTTTTTTTTTTTTTTTTTTTTTGTCACCCTGATCTCCTATGTTACCCATGTGTATCGTCTCCTCCCTAAAGTGTACTTACTCTTTGCTTTCTTTGCACAATGTCTTTGGTTGCAAGTCATAAGCCTGAGGCAAATAAAATTCCAGTAATTTCCAAGATTTTGGCGGTGGTGCTTTCCTAATAAACAGATAACTTAGCTCAACAAATGTTGCTTCTTGTTTTTGAGTTCCAGAGCATTGAACTCTGGTGCCTGGGTGACAGGCTCCTGCCACTGAGCATTTGTGTGTGTTGGGGGGGGGGGGGGTGCAGAGAGAGCCATTCTGCTGCAATGAACCAAGTATGTCACAGGGAGAGAGGAATCTGTTGCTTGGGTGACATGCACAGTGGCGGAAGTGCTGCCGTGGACTAAGGCCCCCTCCCCAGTCTTCCCCAGTGGTTTACTAGCCAGAAACCCTTCCTTTAATTTACTCCAAGTCAATAGCAGTTAAACTCATTTAAAAAATTATTTTCTAGGAACACATTTTTTGGTCTATAATAATAGAGTAATATGCTAATTACACCAGAAGACTCCTGTGCCGGAAGGAAGGCCTATTCTTGCACGAATTTCATGCACCTGGCCTCTAGTAATAAATGTATGTGGGCATTGTAGAAAACATGGGCAGCAGGAAAAGGACAAAGAAATCTTACCTCCCAGAGAAAAGTGCTTGAGACTGCCAGTGTCTGGTGTGCATGGGAGAAGCTTGGAAATCATCTCTCCCATTCACACAAAAAGAAGAAAGCTGAACAAACTGAAAATCAACAGCTCTTCTTAGGTCAAACCACTGAGGTCATGGGGCCAACCAGCTGCCCCCAAAACTGAAGACGTACAGAGGCAGACACAGAGAATCACAACCTACACTTAGCAGAAGACCAGGAAGACCACCTCCAATCATGAACTGCTGGAGACTCGGGGTGGACAAGTTTGAGAGAAAACCTCCAGGGGGCGCCAATCTTAGGAGGGGGGAAAAATCTCATAGTTTTAGCAGAAAGAGTGGGAAGGAGCCATTTAAAAATATGCCCAGGATCTTTTGTCCTCAACGGAAATTTTCCCCAGAGCCTAACTGACCTGAACAAGGGAAATAAACACCCAACTCCAATATTCTCTAACCCAGTGGTCAGCAAACTATGGCTCGCGAGCCACAGTTGGCCGCTCTGTTGACTAATGAGTTTGCTGACCACTGGATGGGGTCTTGATTTTAATAATTACAGGCTGTTGCTATTCCTTGTGATTGAGAGTCTAGGTCAGTGATCGCAAACTCAGTCAACAGAGTGGCAAACAGCTGCTTGCAAGCTACAGTTTGCCGACCATTGCTCCAACCTTTCCGTCTCTCATAAGTGTGGGGGGGAAACAGCTGAGTACTTGTTCCAGGTCACAGCTCGGGGTCACAGACTCACTGAAAGACTGAGACCTAGTCATGGGCTATAGAGCATCTCCCCTACCCGGCCTCTCCCTTCCCCTCACCACCACCTCAGCAGGCGTCAGGACAGCACCAAGGTAATACAATGGAAAGAACATGCATCTCAGGTCGCATTTGCTGATTCTCTGGGAAAACAAAGACAAAGGACAGGAAAACAAGGACAGCAGAGGAAACGTGAGCCCCTGACACTTAAGCTCAGTAAACAGAGAACACAGCCAAACGTAAAGCCTCGCACTAACACATCTCAATCCTCTTTACCTAATACACTGTGTCCCACTCGCAACAAGAAATCACAGGCAAACTAAAAGACAATGCGTTTTGAAGAGACGGAGCAAGCACAGCTATGGCAGACATCAGGATTATCAGACGGAATTTGAAACAACTGATTAATATGCTAGGGACTCTGCTTTTAAAAAAAAAAAAAAAAAAAAAAAAGACTCTTGCAAGAACCAGGTGGGTAATAAATGCAGAGAGATGGAAACTCAAAAGAATCAAAGGAAATTACAGAAATCAAAAATGCCCTAACAGAAATCAAGAATGCCTTTGAAAGTCTTATTAGAATCAGTGAGTTTGAATAAATGTCGATAGGAACTGCCCAAACTGAAATCTAAGGAGATGAAAAAGGCTGCCAGGCACTGGGGGACAATGGTGGAAAGTGTAACGGGCACGATAAGAATCCTGGAAGGAGGAGGAAAGGATACCGAAGTAATATTTGTGAACACCAAGCTTGATAAATACAAAAAATATTCACGTAAGCATATTATATCCAAATTGCAGAAAATCAAACACTCAAAAAAAAAAAATACTGAACAAGGAAAAAAAGCCAGAGAAGAAAAATACCAAGTAGAGTAAGGATAACTACATCTGATGTCTCAGAAACCAGCAAGCAAGAAGAGTGGACAATTTAAAGTGTTAAGAAAATACAAAAAGAAAAAGAAAACACCAACCAGGAGTTCTGTACTCTGAAATATTCTTTAAAAGCAAAAAAGAAGTATGTTCTCAGACAAAAATTGAGGGATTAGATCTGTAAGAAATGTTAAAAATTCTTTAGGGAAAAAGGTAAATTTTATATGTTCTAAAACATGGATCTACGCGAAGAAAGGAAGAATGTTAGGGAAGAAATGAAGGAAAAAAACTTGATTACTCTTATTCTTAATTGATCAAACAGGTAAGAGTTTGTTTAAAAAAGTAACTTATTCCACGATTATAGCTTATGGATAGTTAAAATGAAAGACAACTCTATTATAAAGGATGGGAGGGGAAGTGGGATCCTGTGTTAGAAGGTACTTATACTACCTGTGTGGTGGTGGTAGTGTTACATGATTACATTAATTGTAAATCTATATATATTGCTAACTCAAGGATAGCCACTAAAAAAAGATAGTTTTAAAAATATATAATTGAGTGCTAGCTGATTTGGCCCAATAGATAAGAGTGTCATCCTGCAGACTGAAGGGTCCCTGGTTTTATTCCTGTCAAAAGCACATGTCCGGGTTGTGGGATCAATTCCCAGGAGTGGGCATGTATGAGGCAGCTGAAAAATGAATCTCTCTCCTCCCTGATGTTTCTTCTTCTCAATAAAAATATTTTTTTCCCCCCTAAAAAGTAGAATTGAAATTGGAATCATACAAAATACTTCTAGCCTGAGGAGGCTGGGGGGAGAGGGGGGGGGGGGTTTGCAAGACAAAAGAACAAGGACAAAAAATAAAAATAGGAAACAGCAATTAAAATAGCTATCAATCCAACTATTATATCAACAATCACTTGAAGCATCAATAGTTTACACCAATTAAAAGACAGATACCAGAGTGGACCAAAAAACAAAACCCAGCCTCATGTCTACAAGAAACGCATGTGGTCGCATGTGAAAAGGGCTTCGTGAGTAAGCCAAGCCCCCTTAACCCACCCGCCGTCCTTCAGCTTTGTGAATGGCGAGGGCTGCTCTGGATGTTCCAACGAGGCAGAGTTGGCGGAACCCCACGGCCCCGAGGCCTGCTGCTTCGCCAGCCCCTTTGAGCTGGCGGGAATGTCAAACACAGTTCTTCTCCACCTCTGGGCTCCCAGGGAATTCCCTCAGCCTGGTAAGAGGCCCCTAAGGTGACAACAGCCTAACATTGCCTCTGCGAGAAGGTTATGGGTTTGTTGTTGGCTAAGGTTTAACAGAAACACCACGATTTTTCCGTTTTTGAATAGGTTGGTATGTTGAAGACTTGGGAGTGAAATCTTCCAAAGAGAAACAGCTGATAGTAATAATTCACATGTAAATAATTCCAGGGAATTCATATTCACGCCAGCATTTTTTTTTTTTTTTAAGGCTGGTTGATGTGGAGAAACAATAGAATTCCATTTCTGAGCTTCCAATAAGGAGCACAGGCCCCATAGAAAAAGACTACCTTCAGAAAGGGACCAGGAGGCACGATGGGGTTCCTCTGTGCTCACAGCTGGGGTTCCTCTGTCCCATGTCGTCAAGGTGTCTGGGTCCGAGCTTACTTTCCCTCCGTTTGAATCAGGCCGCATGACCTTACAGAATTCCTTCGGAGCCCCTACCCTGCAATCATTTCTTGAGAACCCACCTCCTTAATAAACAACCTAAATGGGGAGAGTTGCCCAAGTGTTGGATAGCAGTTACCTTTTCTTTCGAAGTCAAGTCCCCGTTTTCAGCCCAGAATACTCCTCAGTGACCTTCCTTTATAGAATGCACTGAGGGCATCCCATGCCACGTCTGAGCTCGGTGCTGGGGAAAATACCAAGGAGAGGACCTGCTCACGTCTCCCTGGCAGCCAGGAACCCTCCTGCCCACTCTGCCACCCCCCTCCGCCCCCACGGCCAATGATCTCACCCAGGTTAACACCCCTGCAGGGCATTTCTTCACCCCCCGAGTGCCAGACTCTGGCCTGCCAGCCACAGCATCTCTTCTTGGTCCCCAGCATCTCTTCTTGGTCCCCAGGACTGGGTTCTACATTGTTTCACATCTGCTTAATCCCAACCAGAAAGCAAGCAGCGTAGAACTTGTACAGCGGACCAGGAGGCCGGTATAAATCCGCCCACCGG